AGCAGGAAGGCATGAGGGCATTGTACCTCCTCTGTCTTTCCCAGGAAGCAGGCATATATTTGTGTGTACTCTTGAGCAGTGGGCCTCTTTGGTAGTCCTTCAAGGGCTCTTTTGCTCCCCTCACCCAGCCCTACATCTTTCCCATCCCTTGCTTCCTGTTGCTCACCCACTGCAGGCTGCGGTCCTGGCCTGCAGCAGACCGAGCCCAACTCTGCTCACCGTGGTGGCCAATCTGCATGTCGGCATGCTTTTGCCCTATTTTGTCAGACACATCCTGCCCCTCTCTACGCAAGTAGTTTCCCTGGGCTCCCATGCCTGACTTCTGTGACCCTCTCCCCCCTCCCCCCAGCCCAAGTGCCCAGGGACCCTCTCTCTGGAAAGTGAGAAAGCACACCTGGCTGTACCAAAGTGGGAATGGAGGTTATCTTACTAAGTATTCAACCTGCAGGCCAGATGAAAGCCAACCTGAAAGCCAACTCCTACAGGGATGGGGTGGTGGATGCTCTCAGAAGGCCAGCAGGCCCTCAGTGAGCATGGCCAGGATTTCTCCCATCAACTCCACCAGGCAGGTGCAGCTCTGCTCTAGTAGCACCTACAGCATCACATGGTAGAAGAGCTCCTGCTCATACCAAGAGGCACAGAGCACCATGGTGCATAGCATGAAGCCATCAACTAGCTCCGGGTGCACAAGGAGCAGACAGAGTCTCCTGAGAAACAGTAGAGAGGTGGGAGACAGGGCAGGGCAGGTGCATCCCTACCCCATCTTGCCCCAGGGCCTTCATACGGACTGGAGGGGGCCATTCAGGGAACCCGTGAACTGGCCTCCAGGCACTTCTCACCACTCGCTCTTGGACAGGGTTGCAAATGAGCCTCCACAAGCCTAGGAAGAAACACCCTCAGGAATTTCCCAGCTGCAAAGCCCACAGCCACCAAGCAGTACCTGAACAGTCCAAGGCCCACGAGCCCTGCCAGCTGAAGCAAGCATCCACCCATCCCATTCATTGCACAGCAGCCCAGACACAGGCCCCAGGGGACAGGAAACAGAAGGGGCAGCTCACTGCAGTCAGGTAGTGACACCACATATCTTTGCTAGTATCTCCCTCTGGTGCAGATCAACAGAGTGGGGACACTTGTTAGGTCCTGTGACACAGTTGGGACAGCTGGGGCTGACACCAAGGTGGAAGCACTTCTTGGGGCGACATGTTGCCCCCCCACCTCCACCTTGCACAGGAACACAGCCCCAGCATCAGCCAGGCACTGCACAGACCCCTCTCCCTAGTGAGAGGGCTGGGGCAGGTGCTAATGGCTGGATTAGACGATCTAATATCGTCTTGGCTAGTCATTCTTGCAGGTCATCTCCATCTCCTCCAGGTGGTGGAGATGCCAACGAGGAGAGATGCAATGCTAGACCTTCTACTAGCAAACAGAGGAGATCTGGTTGGAGACGTGAAGGTTGGGGGCAGCCTTGGCGGCAGTGACCATGAAGTAGTGGAGTTCAGGATCCTACAAGGAGGAAGCAGGGCAATAAGTAAGATCGCAACCCTGGACTTCAGGGGAGCTAACTTTGGCCTCTTGAGGAACTTACTTGGAGGAATCTCCTGGGGTAGGGCCCTAGAAGGAAGAGGGTATCCAGGAGATGCTGGTTAATATACAAGCATCACCTCCTCCAGGCTCAAGACGGGTGCATCCCTCTGAGTAAGAAGTCGAGCAAAGGAGGCCTTTGCGTGCTTGCATGGATGAGCAAGGAACTCCTGGCAAAAACTCCAAGAGAAGAAGGAAGTCTACGGAATGTGGGAAAGGGGACAGGCCACTTAGGAGGAATATAGGGCCATATAGGTCAGAGTATGCGGGGATGCGAGGAGGAAGGCTAAGGCCCATTTGGAATTAAATCTGTCAAGGGATGTCAAGGACAACAAGAAAGGCTTCTTCAAATACATCAAGAGCCAAAGGAAGGCTAGGGAAAACATGGGCCCACTGCTGAGTGGGGCGGGGCGGGTGCCCTGGTGACAAAGGATACAGAGAAAGCAGAGCTACTGAATGCCTTCTTTGTTTCCGTCTTTACTGCTAAGGCCAGTCCTCAGGAATTCCAGACCCTGGAGACAATCTAGAAAGCCTGGAGAAAGGAAGACTCCCCCTTGGTGGAGGAGGATCGGGTTCGAGAACCTTTGGGCAAACGTGACGCCCACAAATCCACGGGCCCCGATGGGATGCAGCCACGAGTGCTGAGGGAGCTGGCGGATGTTATCGCTAGGCCACTCTCCATCATCTTGGAAAGGTCCTGGAGAACAGGAGAGGTGCCTGAGGCCTGGAAGAAAGTCAGTGTCACCGCAGTCTTCCGAAAGGGCAAGAAGGAGGAGCCAGGAAACTCCAGGCCTGTCAGCCTCCCCTCCCTGCCTGGCAAGGTGATGGAACAGCTCCTCCTGGAGGTCCTCGCTAAGCATGTGGAGGACAAGAGGGTGATGCGGAGTAGGCAGCACGGATTCAGCAAAGGGCCGTCATGCTTGACCAATCGGATAGCCTTCTCGGATGGAATGACTGGCTGGGTAGATGAGGGCAGAGCAGTGGACGTTGTCTGCGTGGGCTTCAGCAAGGCTTTGGCCACTGTCTCCCATCACATCCTCCTCATCGGTAAACTCAGGGAGCGTGGGTTGGATGAGTGGCCGGTGAGGTGGATTGAGAACTGGCGGGTTAGATGAGTGGCCAGAGAGGTGGACTGAGAGCCGGCTGGATGGCCGAGCTCAGAGGGTTGTGGTCAGTGGCGCAGAGTCTAGCAGGAGGCTTGTAGCTAGCAATGTCCCTGCTCAACGTATTCCTCGATGGCCTGGAGGAAGGCACAGAGTGCACCCTCAGTAGGTTTGCTGATGCAACTGAACTGGGAGGAGTGGCTGACACCCCAGGAGGCTGTGCGGCCATTCGGAGGGACCTGGACGGGCTGGAGAGCTGGGCGGAGGGGAACGTCCTGAAGTTCAACAAAGGCAAGTGCAAGGTCCTGCACCTCGGGAGGAATAACCCCATGCACCAGTAGCGGTTGGGGGTTGACCTGCTGGAAAGCAGCTCTGTGGATTCATGGTGGACAACAAGTTAAGCATGAGCCAGCAATGACCCTTGTGGCCAAGAAGGCCAATGGTATGCTGGGGTGCATGAGGCAGAGTGTTGCTAGCAGCTCGAGGGAGGTGCTCCTGCCCCTCTCCTCAGCCCTGGGGAGGCCTCACCTGGAGTAC